AATAATATTATTTTAGTTTTTAATAAAAAATTATTAAAACTATATAATTTTAAAATTTATATAAATCCTAACTCTCTAAATATATAAACGCTTAAACACAAAACGAGAAATCAGATATTAAAATAGAAAAAGAAAAAAAATAATTTCATTTGGATTCTTTAACTTTTCCGTATCTTATTGCTCAAGTTCATCCATAGAAAACAATACTCGCTGTGCATTTTGTACTACAGGGGAACCTTTCTTGGTCTTTTCCACAATCTGCTTTATCAGTCGCCTCTCTATCTCATCATCACAATCACTACTCTCATGTTCGCTAAAACCAACATCAAGTAATTCCTGGAACCTTGATGTTGTTACCTGACTTGCAAAGATTTCACTCGATACTTCTTGTTTATTGTACATAGGATGTGGCGAACGGTTTGCAGCACTGTTTTGTCCCCACGACATGCTCCCCTCAGATGAATGTTCTCCCCCTAAATGGGTATTTGCATAATCCTTTGATGGTGAATCCTCGTCTTCGGACTCGTTTATCTTCATGAACTCGTCATAGGTCTCATTGTAAGCATCTAGAGCTTCACCTGATAAATTCATAACGAGTGGCCGGGCCATAGAGTTGCAATCTTCATCAACTGGCAGACTTTTTTCAGTGGAAAAGTGTCTAAATTCAGTATTAGAGAAATCCCTCCAATAATTTTGATATTCTGATTCCATGAGTTTGACCTTCCTCTGGCTGTTTTGCAGCGCTGTCTCAAGCTCTTGCACACGCTCTTCAAGCCTGGATTGCATAACTTCGTGTAAACGCAAGCTCAGCTCTCGAGGTGAAACTGCATAATTTCCAGAGTGTGTTGTAGAGTCACACCCTTCATCTTGATCTGACTCGGATTCAACAGGAGCCTGCTGATTTATCAAGTCAACTCTCAATTCACCTTGAGCAAAATCTGCTTCAAACTCTGGGTCAAGCTGCATGGTTTTGAATGCTCTATGATTAGTTCGAGACAAGCTTGTAGGAGTTAAGAAAAAAAAAATGTGGAGTGAGAGAACAATTCAGTGTAATCATCCGAGTGAAGAAACATCATCTTTTACACTGTATATAAATGCAAAATTTATTATGAGTTCTTGAAGGATCAAAATCTAGCAATATGAATAGAATGTAAGATAAGAGGGAATGGCTACTAAGTTCTGTCGAAAGAAGAAGAAACAGGATAAGACAATGGATGGTCCTCAAGAAATTTATTCCATGTGACAAAACATACTTTATACAATTAAATAGCAGAACAGGTGATATTTAACAATGAGAATTCAGGTATACTATGATAATATAAAATCAAAATTTTAATTACCCTATGGAGAAAGAACTTCAAAAGTTTAAATTGAATAAGCAGTGATGAAGTAGTCATTCTAAGTAAGCAGAAATACATTATAGTTTCCACTAGCTGACTGAATAACTTCACCTATGACACCTTACAAGAATAAAATGATCCTGAAAAATTACTAGAGCCATGATTTTATGCGGTCAAATAATAAACCAAATTCAGGTAACATAGCTCTTTGATCTCCTTACCTCAACATGATCAGAAATTTGTCTATCAAAACTAGGTGCATTCATGTTTAATCCCAACCTCTCAAGTTCGGCTTCAAGCTCAGCTTCAATTTTACTCATAGATTCAAAACTCTGATCCACCTTTCCATGACATGATTCTTTCCCATCATGTGTTGTTGAATTATTCATATTCTGTTCTGAGGAGTATGGATTTGGTGTCCTGTCATAAAAGGGATTGTCTTCTCTCTCCTGTGATTCATAGTTCTCATTAGCTAGCTCCTTGAATGTCACTGAATCTTTCATTTCAATCTCCTCTTGCAGATCTTGTACCAAGTTTTCTGTCCGCTTCAACAACTCTCTCAATTTGTCCACTTCTCTTCTATGAGCTATGCAGGAGAATATTAAACCCATAGACATCCCAAGACAAAACATGACTGTTGCATCATGTGAACCTGATTAGCATATAAATATTAGGGCATAATAGGTTTGTTTAGACAAGGATCAGTATCAAAAAGAAAGTTTTAAACAAATATGAAAACCAGGATGCCTACCAAGTAAACTTCTACCATGAATAAAGTACATGCATATACCTTGTAAACAAGTTAATTGTTGGCTTATGTATATGGTATTGTTCGGAAGGGAGATAAGACTGCTTTTAAGGCCAACTGGTACACATGAAATGATGAATAATACATGATGTACATAGAACCAAGTACATCCATTAACTATGAAGAAATTATTAGAAGCACTTTTAACAGAATGCAGAAACAGGTGATGCTATTGTTCCATTAAGTGTTAAAACCATCAATCCCTGAGCTTGGACTAATGGCATAGAAACTCAAATCTATATGCCATCCAGGTCATGAAAGAGATGGAGAAAGAAAAGAAAAAGAATTTCATTTTCACTTTCTCCCACACACAAAGAAAGGGAATAAAAACATTTCCTCTAATTCAGATCTCAATGTAACTGGTTATAAACCTATTACAGTGATCATACTCTTTCTTCTTAACTTCTAGCACATGTAATTTAAACTTCCCCCTGCAGTCCACAACGACAAAATTAGTGAAAGAAGAAGAACAGAAGAACTGCAGCACAAAACAACATCCAGAATCAAGGCAGGGTCACATATATATAACAAGGTGTAAAGAGGAAAAAAAAACCACCTTTTAAGAAGTGTTTCTCATTGTCCACTTTGTCCATTTTGTAAGAACTGCTCAATCTTCCATTCCCCCCCTTTTCTCTCTTAACTTTCATCTTCGTCAAATCCAAATACTCAATTTTTGGTAGTAGTGGCACACCAAAAAGATACTCATTCTTCTCCAACTTGGATTCTAAGTGCAGCTTATTATCCACAGTTCCATCAAACACACCGAATGAATCTCTGTTTGCTCTGCTAATTAATTTGGTTCCATCAGTTACAAGCAATGGCCTTAAACTTGGCGAGGATGGTGATGGAAGAGAACTAAGCACATACTCTTCCATTTTAGCTTGGTTGTTGTATAACTGAGCCATAAGGCAACTTTCCAAGGAACTTAAAGGTTTAACAAAATGCCTATATGTATGCTTGGTCTTAAGAGGGCACCGGTTCCTCCCAGAATCACGAACAACATCTATTTGACTGGTATAAGGTTTCCCAGAATCATCACTAACGTTACCACCAAGTCCATTTCCAGAGTCATCTCCTCCTAGATTTTCATTTGTCAACAATTCAGGTGGTAAACTTGATAAAGAAAGCACATTGCAATTGCTGTAATTTACCACGCCTTCTATCTTTTCACAGTCAAATCCTCTGGAAGAGCCCACTTCTGCAGCTGAAGCACCATCATCTTTAAAAATATGTGAAAATTTCCCATCTGAAACTTCTCGTCTATCCGGAGAAACATCTTCCCTGAGTTTCCTTCTCTGCGTTGATCTGCGGAAGGGGCGGCTTGAGGTTTCAGGCTTCTCATATCTTGAATCAACAGAAGAAAGGCCTAGAGAGCTGGCCTTGTCCCTTGGAAGATTCTGCCAATACTTTGCAAAATATCCAGCAGCAGCCGCTGCTACTGCAACCCACAAATCCATTTTTACTCTCCCTTCCACAGAAGCCAGAAACACTAGGCCATTTCTACAACAAAAAAATTTACCTGTATCTCCACTCTAAACATCCAAAACACCAATGCAACAATATCCATGGATTCAAATTCAAAAACATTCTCACTCTTACAAATGAAAATCCTTTTAACTCTTCATCATAAGAAAAGGCTACAAACTATAATCCTAGCAAATTGAAGTAATACCGCAATCCAATAAATTGGATTTTCTTCATTTTCCCTAACAAATGATTGACTCTCTCAAAACAGAGAATATCCCCAACAGCAATGAAAATTCTTCCAACATTTTGCAGCAGCAACAAATTCCAGAAACCTAACCAAGAAAGCAATAAATGTTCAATAATCAATGCCACCTTCTTCAACCAAGACCCAAGACAAAACAATAAATGTAAAATAAGTAGTGTGACCTTCTTCAACCAAGACATTTCAGATAATCAACTCAATGTTACAAAGTACAGGAAAAGATGCACGGTGTGTGAAGAGGCAGCAGACCCATGATTTCAGAAATGCAAGCAACCTAAATACCACCAAACGCAACCAAAAAAAAAAAAGAAAAGAAAAAAATTCCCATCTGCCCATCTCCTAATCATCCTAAACAGAAGCAACCCCTCAACGCCCGCAAAAAATCCGAGCCAAACCCATTTGAACTGCAAAACCCATCAATAGAAAGCACCAATTTCACCCAATGAAGTTAAGAGCTGTGATTGAAGAAGAAATACGACGACTTTCTCCGGTGAAACAAGGACCATGAAAATTAAAAAAGCTTACTTTTTGAGAATTTTTAAGTCTCAGAGCAAAATCTGGGCAGGGTATTGGTTGTTGTTGCTATCGAATCTTGAAGAATAGAATGTATGGACTGGATTCCTAGGAAAAGTAAGACCTGTTGTTGCTCTGTTATCTTCACCGGAAACGACTGCAGCCTCTCCAACCTAATATTCTTTTTGCTTGGTAATTAAAAAATTGAGGGTTATTAAAAACAGTTGTGAAAATTCCCTGGTTTTAATTACGGAGTATATTTTTCGGAAATGTCTTTTGAGTTCTCCTCTAGAGCTCTCTGGTTTAACTGTTTAAAACTGAACAATTAGGGTTTTATCTATATAATGTGGTGAATTAGAGAGTTTAAACCACATATTTAAGTGGTAATAGCCTCTTAAAAACATGTCTTGAGTTAAAAAAATAAAAATTTTCTTAATAAATTAAATATATATTATCATAAAGTTTATTAATGATATTTTTTTTTATCAAAACTAATAATTTTATTAAAATAGTCTTTTACATAAAGTGTAGTCAGCTCAAAAAAATAACAGTTGTATATTTTTTAAGGTTAACTGTGAATTTTGACCCTTAACTTAAGGTTTTGCATAATTTTTATTTTTTTAATTTTTATAATATTTTTTTAGTCCGAAAAATATATTTTTTTATTTTTTTTTCAATTAATTCATTATGTTTGTTTGAATAAGCATATTTTTAATCCTTTAACTTCTAATATATACATATTTTCATTCTTTAACTTTAAGTTGAGGGATTAAAAATATACAGATTTAAATAAATTTAACAAATTAACTGACGAAAGATTAAAAAAAATATTTTTCATAGTTAAAGGATAAAAAAAATGTAAAAAAAAGTTGAAAGATGAAAATTATGTAAAATCTTAAAGTTGAGGGATCAAAATTAGTATTTAACTATTTTTTAATTAAAAATTTAAAAATAATTTATATTTATACATTACACTTAAAAAATATATTGATAAAAAAATTTATAAAAAAAATTTAATCAAAATAAATAAATTAGTGTAAAATAAAATTTCAAAAATGTTAATAATTATTTTCAAAGGGAAGATCTTATGCATATTTTTAAAATGGGATGAGATAAAATACTGGTAATAAAAAACCACTTTTAAATTGTCTTAATTAATAAACGGGATGAGATTTTTTGTACTTTTACATATTTTGATTTAATGGTCTGGTAGCTAATAAATGGACGTAGTTCTTTTAGAATAATTTTAACCAAAAAATTTTTCAATTTCAATTAATTTGCTATGTAAGAAACTACATGTAAAAGTTAAAATATGAAAATTAAAAAAAAAAAAAAATCAAATGGGGGTAGATCAAACTATATATGAAACTGTGATTTGAACAACTTGTAACTTTTGTAAACTTTAGTTGCTTCTAACTTAAAATAAACCTAATTAAAAGTAAATTTTTATAGGATGATAACTACAACTTATCCACCTCATTTTTATATTTTTATCTCTTACATCTAATATCTTTTCTATCAACAAAGTGTCTTTTAACCATTGAACTAGATGTCATAAACTTAGATCATAACTAGATATTACCTTTAGAAATTTTCGTGTGAGGTTTCTCTATATATTGAGTAGAACTTTTGTTATGGATAGGAGCTCAATGGAATAAATACATTGATTAATAATATATCCTTATCAGGAAATCTTTTGTATCAAGAAGATGTGTTGGGTTTAAAAAACAATACATAAAAAAATTTAAATTTGTTTACTTTCTCAAATTGATAATCTCTTCATGATCCATACACAGAAAAAATTAAATACAAGTAATAAGAGCACTGTAGGGCACTTTGTCCTGTATAAATTATATTTCTTTTGGTTATTGATAGAGGGATGAACCAGCAATATTAAGGAGACTGCACTTCAATTTTTTGTAAGTAATATTACATGTAAGCATTTGGTGATTGCATGTTCTATAATCAAATCCTTCAGTAAATCGAATTTGAAACTACCACAAATGAAGAGGCACTTTAACAGTAATCCACATGAGTACAAGCAACTGCTATTGTCATGTGACCGGCGGCTAGGAAAGTAGGATTCTGTGACAACTTAAACTTATACCCGTTTTCTATGGGATTTCTCTGCACCTTATATCAACGTATTGATGTTTTTTGATCAAACATATATCAACATATTCATGACTTGTGAGATTAGTTGCGCTTTTTGAATCAAGACATATGTCGTGCATTATTGATATCTGGTCTCAATAATCTTTGACTAATTAAGGATAGATTAATAATGAATTCATGGTTGCTAATAAATTTCACCCATTCAAGAATTTCGCTTGAATTCTTTTAATTAGCATGCATGCCCATTTTATATAAATTTTAGGGTAATGGTATCACTACAAGAAAATTTACATTTAGTGACTAAATTATTGATCATTAAATCTTTATTTTTCGTCACAAATTATTATTAATGATAAAATTTAACCATTAGTAAAACCCTTGTCACTAGTGCTCTTAATGACAAATTAAGTACTTGTCACAGAAAATAATCTAGAAAATAATCTTATAGTAATAGAAAAAATTGACATTATTAACAAGTTATTTATAATAATTTTATTCGTCATAAAAAAATATTCGTCATAAATGTAATTATGATGAAAAATTTAATCATTAATTATTAAAATTGATATTAAATAAAAAATATATTTATATAATTACAACACAAATATTTTAACAAAAATTTTGTCACAAAAAATAATATATAAATTTATCACAAAAGTTAAATAAAAAAATATTATTATTTCAATACTAATCAATTTTGATTAAAATTAATTAAGTTCGATTAAAATTAATCAAACCCGATTAAAATTAATCAGACCCAAACTAATCTCAAGTTTTATTGAGTTTCACATGTTTTATAGTACAAAAATTTATTTTCTTAAATATTTTTTATTGATGTAGGATATATTTATAGT